CCAAATCAGACAGTGGTTTCTCCTACAAAGTGGCGTACTGGTTTTTACTCTGCCAAAGAACACATTTCCTTTATGAAGTCTTCTGAAGTTTACAGACCAGTAGATGTAATAATACTTTGTCTATATTTTTGTGATGAGGTATTGTAATTATTTACATTATTTACACTATTTTCCTCATCTTTATTGCCATATTCATGATGATTCCAAGAAGGCCAGGGCATACAATGGCTAAACACAAATTGAATATGACAATAAAGATGTGGGCAACAGTACCAACAATATAAATAATCTATGTAATACATACTGTTTTAAAAAAGGGGTGTCTATTCAAACAAGGGTATCCACTAAAAATAATGTTTGAAATAATAAGATAAAGGGGTTATTGAATTCTTTTGCATATATTCTGCAAAGATAAACAGATTACAGCAAGAACAAGGCCAAAATTTGCATGCAATTATGGTCACCCTTTCAACAACTACATCCATTATATTTAGGGTTACCAATTGTCTTGAAAAATGTGGAATTTCTCTGCATTTCTTATGCCAAACTGCATGTCCAGAATTAATGATGTAGGACATGTTTTTGTTTCACTTTTTAAGAATCAATGGTTCTTTTTAAATATTACACATTAATATTACTATTTTTTAAGATGTACTTAATAAACATGAATGATGATAATAATACATGCAAAACATGCCTTCCCCTCTCTGTCCTCCTCACTTTAAATTTTACAATTCCTATCACTCAAAAATATCAAACAGATTTAATTCAGCTTTACAAGTCTGTGGATCCCTGTTTGAGAACCTGTCCACAGGGTCTGCAGCTCCCTGGTTAGGAAATCATCACCTCATAATTCCATATTTTCATTTTAGGGAATTGGCAACCCTAATTAAATTACTTTAATAATTCACTTTCATAAAACTCTGATTTCTCTGTTATTAACTCATGGATTCTCTGTTCTTCTGGCCAACCCACAGCAATGACACTTATTTCAATATCAAAGAATAGCAAAAATTCTCTTGAATAAGCCACTTATATTCTTTACACACATACTTTATGATTTGTCTTAGTATAAACATTGCTAGCATAACTATAGATTAAATTTCTGTTATTATTTTCATAAGGTGTTACTTTTGGTTTGGGAAAAAATATTTTTACTTGATAATTATAATAAAATATGTTAATTTATAGGATTTTTATAAGTTTTTAATGGTTTTTATTTTTACTTTTGTAATTTCCAAATGAAATGAAAGTTAATTTTAATTTTTGTAATTATTTCTTTGTCAGGGTTTTAGAATAAATGATTCAAAAAAATTTAAATTAAAGCTCATGTAATGAAAGCTTTTTTCAACTACATTTATTGTGTGTCATTGGATGATAGTATGGTCAATTAGTTAAAATATTTTCTTTCCCACCATTTGACTCAAGTTCAAACCTCACCATGGTCAATTTGTTAGGAAGGTGACTTCTTGATGTTATCAGCCTGGGAAGGTAATCTTAGAAAAGGGGACCACCCAGACAGCTCTTGGGTGATCAGTTTTTTTTTTAAAGACTCTACATTTACAGCTATGTAAAATCACTAACAAAATTTTATGTTTGCTCATTCAAAGGCAGGCTGGAGACAGGATTCCTGAAAAATCCTGGTCATTAAATTTACTTGAAAATGGGATGGAGACAAGATTCCAGAGAAACCCTGGTCATTAAATTGACTTAAAAGTGAAAAGAATCTCTCCATTCATCTCCTGAGAAATTGCATTGCAACAAAAGCTTCCAATTTATTTTCTGATAGAAAATTAAAAAACATATTGTTGCCTATAAAAATGAGATAACATTAATTTTTAGTATTGACACTTTTTCAAAATAAATATACAACTAGTCTATTTTTTATAGCTTTATATATTTAATAATATAATTTTATTTTGTTTCATTCAAACCAATTTCCTTTTCTTTATTGGATTTTTTACTCCACTGTTTTAGCCACTATACTCTCTGGTCTCCCTTGGGTATCTATTGTATTTTGGACATCTAACCATGTAACATTCCTTTACAGATAAAATAAACCTAAAATGATCCCACTCTATGCAGATACCTCATCAAAGTAAAACTTTTGCTGTAAAAAAATATCAAGAACTGAGAACACAACATTCCATGCAATTGGGGCAAGTTGAGTGAAAGTAGCCAGATTTTAAAAATAAAATTTGAAGAGCATCAGAAAGCTGTCATATATATAAAAATTCATAATTATATATATGTGGAAGGAGAGAGGGCAAAATTAAACTCTGTTGAAGCGTCTTAAAATAATAGTGAATAATAACATTGGAAAATGAAAAAACTGAAGAAGCAATATATAAGGGCTAATGTTTATTGGTCATCTATCAGCCAATCAGCATTTGCTATGCTCATTACTTTAGACCAATCAGATATTACCATTTTATTTTTATCAAATGAATGCTTGACAACTAGCAGATTTCTTGAAAACACAAATATCTGATTTCATTTTGAATCTTCAGCTCTTTTCCAGCTGGTGAAATAAAACAATGTCATGCTTTTGGACATTTATGTTTTATGTACATTTTAAAAAAAAAAAATCAGGATACAACTATTGGCAGCAAGGAAAATGGTTATTTAATGATACAGTCTGAGAATATTTATCAAATATTGCAATAAAAAATAAATTCGTTGAGAAATTTTCCATAGCAATACCCACAGCATCAGAGAAATCCAAAGTCTCTGTAGGTGAGACCATAAACTGCTCTATTGTGGTAATGCAATTCTGCATGTCACTGCACTAGTTGTGATGACATCAAAAGCCTGCTGTATGCGAATACACCAACACTCACTATGTTCCACAGATTTGTCTCAATAGCCAATATTAGGGTCATGATTGCTGTCAACAAAACAAAAGCAACAAATGCTTTTTCAAGACACTTTTTGTGTCAGAAAATAACAGAAAAAAATATGATTTCTCACTCAGTCAGCAATGTCTTCCTTCTGTTACAAGAAAGCAAACATTTTCTAACTGACTTCGCACTAAGTTCTGGACATGAAAAACAAACCTCTACACATTCCCTGTCTAACCCTTAACTTACCATCCAATTCATTATATAGATACTGGCTGGGGGACCCACCACCCTGACATGTTTTGGGTGGTCAGTCTTTCAAAATAACCTACTTTTATGGCTATGTAAAAACACTAACAAAATTAAAAATTAAAAATGTTTAACAATTCAAAGGTAGGCTCAAGACAAGATTCTTGAAAAACCCTGGTCAATGAATTTACTCAAAGATAGGCTGAAGACAATATTCCTGAAAAACCCTACTCATTAAATTGAGCTAAAAGGAAAAAGATTCTATCTCTTCATCTTTTAAGGATGTGTGAGAAATCATATTGCTACACAATCATAACCATCCTGGGCATGATGATAAACTGGGTATGATGATAAACTACATCCATGTTCTGGGTAAGACGGTAAACTATGCCCAGCTGCAAGGCCTCTGATCAAGAGGTTTTGAGGAGCATGGAACCACCTCTTAACTGCTGGTGTTCCCAGGTCCACCCTGACCTGGTGTGGTAACACCTGTTAGGGTCCTAGCTATGGGCAAATAGTTAACCCCAAAACTGAGGTAAAAATGGGTTTTAATACCAGGAATACTTTGTAAAAAAAAAAATTATTATCAGCAATAAATTTTTGAAGAAAAAAAAATTATTACCAGCAATACATTTTTGAAAAAAAATATTACCAACAATATGTTTTTGAAAAAATATTACCAGCTATACATTTTTGAGGAAAAAAATATTACTAGCAATACTTTTTTGAGGGAAAAATTATTACTAGAAATAGATTTTTGACAAAACAAAATTATTACCAGCAATAAAAACTTTGTTGGCATTAAATAACCCATTGAGGTTGATATACCATAAAAAAACAACAACAACAAACCAAACACTATCATAAAGTTCCTTTTTGATCCTGCTACCAAATCAAATTTCAAAACATTGTTCAGTGAATATGAAAACATCTTTCAGATATTTGTGTATTACCTGTACCATGAATGTCATCTACAAGAAAAAGAAAACTTGTCTTCTATTGAGTACCTAGCAATATCAGCATCTGTGAAAATGGAAAAGTTGATATGGCAGCAAAGGAATCCTTAATAATTAACATTTTAAATTTAAAAATCACCTATACAGATTTCAAAGCAACTATAAACTCATAGATTCTAAACAAGTGGCAAGTGTTATGGAACTACCACCCAAACAGCCAACTTTACAAAATTAAATCCATTCTAGGAGAATGGCATCATGGTCTCAGACTATCTTGGAATGAAGAAGTCACCCAATCAAGAATCAGAATAAGACATGCCTATATCACTCATTTCTTCTAAAAAACGAACGTCCCCCTGAATGCACAGCATGTCAGGAGACATATACCGTAAAACATATTCTAACCAATTGCATAGTAACTTTACTGCTATACATCAACAATATTATGACATGACTTGTCTAGAGGACCTTTTCAAGAAGGTAAAAGTAGAGACTATCTTAGTTTACTTCAAGAAGGTTGGTTTACACCACAATTTAGAGTACTAAATAACTCTTTTCTAAAGGTGTAAAAAATTGCTAGTGAATCTCACTTAGTTTGTTGTAAGGTCACAAATTCAGTGTCTAGGCCAAGAAAAAAGTTCTTAAAACTCACAAGTACAAACACGAGATGTGATATGGGATTTTTTTTTTACAGCAAGGTTCACCCTTTACAGGCCTGGAGTAGAGGTTTACATTAGGAGGCCATTTGTGTGTATAGGAGTGAAAGATAACGGTTAACCTGAGCTTTTAACAGGTTAAGATTGTAGTGATCGGGTAAACATCCTGTTAGGTGTTGTTTTACTGATTCAGATCAATGTTTGACATTGCAAAATACAATAAACAACCAAGTGATGCTGGAGAGCATAGTTACCAAAATCTTTAGATAAATAATTTAGACTAATATTTTCTATTACAGAAGGAATGAAGGATATGGTCCTAGTACAAGGTGCTAAAGGAACTCAACCATCCAATGATTATAAGGTTAGTGATCTATTTCTAATATAGATTGTTGTGGAGTAAATAAGACATCCCCAGTAACACAAATGAACTAAGCAAGATGCCTTAAATAAAGAACTCAAAGTGAGTAGAAATCTGTTGGAGTTAGCCAAGGAGAAAGAATTGATAATGTCATAGCAAGTAGCTTAAGCAAGACATAATATTATAACTGCTAGCAGTGAATTACATCATAAATTCACTTGATAATTTACTTATTTCATAGTTGCCCAATGAAGCAACAAACTTCCTGTAAAAAAATTTAATACTGTCAGCTTTATTTAATTTGGCAAAATTGGTTATCTACTAGTCAAGTTCACAATCTATGTCTACAGGTGTTGAAGACAAAATGAGATTTTTTTTTTTCATTTGATTAATATTAATTTTTCATGACACATTTCATCTTTTAACACTTCATTGGACTACCAGTTCACACTCCTCTCTGGTCTTTTGAACAGGAGTAGAAGGTTTATCCCTTATTTCCTGTTTAGGATTAGGTTTCCAGTTCCTTCTAAAGTCTACTTCAACTCTATACATCTAACATCTCCTCCTAAAACTCTGAACTTTTATTTAATATTGAATTACTTTTACTTTTATCAATATGAGTAGATAGGTTCACACTCCTCTCCGGTCTTTTGAACAGGAGTAGAAGGTTTATCCGTTGTTTCCTCTTTAGGATTGGGTTTCCAGTTTCTTCTAAAGTCTACTTCAACTCTATACTTCTAACATCTCCTCCTAAAACTCTGAACTTTTATTTACTATCGAATTACTTTTTCTTTTATTAATACAAGTAGATAGGTTCACACTCCTCTCCGGTCTTTTGAACAGGAGTAGAAGGTTTATCCCTTGTTTCCTCTTTAGGATTGGGTTTCCAGTTCCTTCTAAAGTCTACTTCAACTCTATACATCTAACATCTCCTCCTAAAACTCTGAACTTTTATTTAATATTGAATTACTTTTACTTTTATCAATACAAGTAGATAGGTTCACACTCCTCTCCGGTCTTTTGAACAGGAGTAGAAGGTTTATCCCTTGTTTCCTCTTTAGGATTGGGTTTCCAGTTCCTTCTAAAGTCTACTTCAACTCTATACATCTAACATCTCCTCCTAAAACTCTGAACTTTTATTTAATATTGAATTACTTTTACTTTTATCAATACGAGTAGATAGGTTCACACTCCTCTCCGGTCTTTTGAACAGGAGTAGAAGGTTTATCCCTTGTTTCCTCTTTAGGATTGGGTTTCCAGTTCCTTCTAAAGTCTACTTCAACTCTATACTTCTAACATCTCATAAAACTCTGAACTTTTATTTACTATTGAATTACTTTTTCTTTTATCAATAGGAGTAGATAGGTTCACACTCCTCTCTGGTCTTTTGAACAGGAGTAGATGTTTATCCCTTGTTTCCTCTTTAGGATTGGGTTTCCAGTTCCTTCTAAAGTCTACTTCAACTCTATACTTCTAATATCTCCTCCTAAAACTTTTTTCTTTTATCAATAGGAGTAGATAGGTTCACACTCCTTCCCAGTTCTTGAACAGAGGTTTATCCTTTGTTTCCTGTTTAGGAATGGGTTTCTGGTTCCTTCTAAAGCCTTTTCCTTTAAAAGGAAACAGTTAAATTCAAATGTTTAAAATATGTAAAACATAAGTTAATCCAAACTAAAATAATATAAATAATAATTAAATTATATTAAAAAAATTTAACAATAATAACATTTACTCTCTTTCATTTCTTTTATTAGACATTAAATTACTTCACTTAGCTACTTCCATAATTTACCTTGACTTTCAATTAGCCTGAAGTATGGTTATGAGCAGTCTTAAATTTAAAAATTCCAAAAAAATAACATTTTTACTTGTTTATAAATACTTATTGCAAAACAAAATCATTACATTTGCCATTATTCATATTTCTTTTTATAAACAATCCAGTATTAAGCATTTCGTATTTATTGGGGATGTCCCATTAGTATATAAGTATATGCAATTTCTTATATTTTTATTGTATACTAAAATAAATTTACACTCTTGGATGTTCATGCCCACAGCAAAATTGGAATGTCAAATGGATAGTTTTCCCTTGACTTTGCTATTATTTTAACTACCTTCACTCCTCAGCAATGTTTATTGTTTTAAAAAGTGATGATTATACATTTTCTTTGTTCTTGAGAATTGGCAATAAAAATAATAAACACTATTTATTAGATAGTTTATTTACACTATTTATTTATTAGATCGTTTATTGGAATGGTTGGCAAAACATGAGCAAATTACCAATTGTTCCAAACTTTATAAAATGGTAAATAGTGAGGAGTTCTTATATTTTAATAATTTAATAGATGTTTATAAATTTATGAATAAAAATTGTTTTCATATTTCTTTCTTTAAAAATTGGTAAATGATAAATATTGCATCGCATTAATCTTAATACAATTGTATTAATTTTTATAATGTTGTAAATGATATAACAATATATAATTTTGTATAATTTTATATATCAACAAAGAGTATTTTAAAAAAAATATGACAAACTGCAAAGTTTTTTTTTTGTGATGTGTTTGTCCAATGAAATCCTAATTGATGAAACATGTCATAAAATAAAAAACTTTCCAATTTGTCATATTTTTTTTTGTTATAAATTCTCAAGAATAAGAAAAAGTGTATAAATTTACTTTCATCATATGTTTAGGTTTTATTACAATTCTAATCACCACTTTTTAAAATGATAAACATTGTTGAGGAGTGAAGGTAGTTAAAATAATAGCGGTGTCAAGGAAAAAACTGTCCTTTTGACACATCACATTTTTATGTAGGTACAAAGGTCCAAGATAGCAAATAAATTGGTATTATGCAACTATTATTTTTTCATTTTATTTGTAGGTTACTGCTACTTATGCTGATGGTTTTCGAGCTACAGCAGTTGCATGTGTTGGGGGACCTCGCAGTGAAGAGAAAGCAACAAAAACAGCTGATGCTATTTTAGAAAGGTAAAAAGAAAAATATATATATAACTTTTGTTCTAATATAAACTGGAAAATTGTTTTTAAGTAAATGATATTTGATAAAAAAAAGAAAATTATGTTAAAATTACTAAAATCCTAGGAGAGATTTAAGAAAATTTTTTTTTTTTTTTTTCAATATGGTTCACTTTGTAGGAGGCCTGGAGGGCACTCAAGGTAGAGGGTTATGATAAGGAGTAGTTTATATGGATAGGATGGACAGATAAAGGTTTACCCTTGTTTTAAACAGGTTAAGATTGTAGTGATTGGGGAAACATCCTCTTGGGAGTCTGTTCTCCTCAGCAGTGGTTCGCAGGAAGAAGCTGTTCGAGTTGAACTTACTTCTCACCAATGGGTAGTTTATATGGATAGGAGGGGAAGATAACAGTTAACTCTAGACTTGAACAGATTAAGATTGTAGTGATTGGGGAAACATTCTCTTGGGAGTCTGTTCACCTAGGCAGTGGTTCACAGGAAGAAGCTGTTCAAGTGGAACTTACTTCTCACCAATGGGTAGTTTATATTGATAGGAGGGGATGATAATGGTTAACTCTAGACTTGAACAGGTTAAGATTGTAGTGATTGGGAAAACATCCTCTTGGGAGTCTGTTCCATAGGGCAGTGGTTCACGGAAAGAATCTTTTTGAGTGGAACTTACTTCTTGCCAATAGAATACAGAAAAAATGTGGGTGGTTTGTGACTATGTAAGTGGTATGGAGGGTCCTAGGTCAGAAGGCACTTATTTGCACTGTTTATATTTAGACTATTGTCCTCATCTTTGTTGTTGTTATCACATTTTGACCAGTGAGCAATCCAGCCTTCCTCAGGTGTATATTAATATGGGTAACTTACAGAGAATTCTAACCTTTGTTTAATCTACAGGGTTAGACTGTTCTTCCACTACAGCTTTTTGAAGGGGTGAGACAATGAAATCAGTCATGGCTGATCATGTATGGAAGGAAAGGGGTAGTCATCTGTGGAATGAAGTGAAAATACTGGATAAGGAAAAAACTTGAGAGACATCTGAAAGAATTGGCGCAATATGCAAGGCTATCAGGACCTCCTTAGTAAACCTAGCATAGAAATAAAAATGATATGAAAGCTGCTAATAAAGAGAAAGAAATCACAGCAGGTCTTCAACAGCAGTAAAAGCATCAATCAAAACATGACGGCAGCAACAGTTGCAACATTAATCAGCAGGGAGGTTAGGTTTAATGCTCCAAGTTCACTACAGCAAATAAATTGTCCTATAGGACATTAGCCTAGTAGATTAAAGCATTGGTTTGTGAATTTGGTGACATAGTGATTGTGAGTTCAATCCCTGGAAACAAGGAAGCAATAACTGAGCAGTACTATAAATAAGAACTAGACAATATCCCTAGACATGAGCAGTGGAACAAGAACAGTCTCCTCCTGTAGATTAAATAAAGGGTTCAGTTCAGAATTCCCTGTAAGTTATGCAAATCAATATATGCCTTAGGAAGGCCAGAGGACACAACAGCCAAAATATTGTGATATAACAACAAAAATGAGGACAATAATATAAATATAAATAGTGTAAATAATAACTCCTCATCCCAGAAATTCATACAAATTATATAATTACTTATATAATCCCTTACTTTGCCAGTGCTTCTGGTTATACAATATTAGAGCGTCTCCCATTGGATAGCAGTATGAAAATATTGTTTGAGCACTTAACCCTAGAACAGTCAACAGTCAATTTTTTTTTTTGACTGGTGAAGTCAAATTGGTTAGCCATTTCAGAGATTATCTTTGTGCTTTATTGATAGTCAATGCGAACTGAATTCACTTTATACTTGGAATATTGATTGTTATTGAAAAATACATCCTAATATCAAAAACAAATGATATAATCTCTTACTTCAACAGGGCTTCTGGATATACAACATTAGTGCTTCTTTCTTTACATAACAGTATGAAGAGGTTGTTTGGGGATTCAACCCAAAATAGCTAACCTAGTTAATAGGAAAAGTATAGGTACATTTAGTTAAAGCTAGTAATCATGTCTTACATTTTGTTGATGGTCATGACAAAGCTGTGTCCTACTGGAATTTGATGACACTTAAATTTAAAGAGCAAATTGAATCCTAGGAATGAACGCATCCTCCTTTTGTTCCCCTCATTTGGATAGTTGCTTTGATGACATATAGAAGCTTGACAAGTTTCATTGCATAATTTTGGAAGATCAAGATTTCTAAGAAACACAATGGACATACTAGCTTTTAGTTGAAGCACATAGGCAGGAATGTCAGGCATCTTCAGATGGTTGATCAATTCACTTGAGTTGGGAAAATGACAAGAATTGTATAAATTGACTCATACAACTGAAGAGTAAGTTGCAATGGATTTAATTTTATTTCTTTGATTGTATTCGTTGTCATTACAGCTAAAAAAAAATAGCTTAATCCTAGAAATTTTAAAATTCTGTTAAAACATTTTTTGGGATTGCATATTTTACAAACAAAATAGAAAAAAAACAAGTTTTTTAGTACTTTAGATTATTTTTAGTCGTGTTATTTTAATCTAACATTGACCTCTGGTGACTTGGAGGTTAGCATATCTTATTCTCTCATATTTTTCTGTTCATGATATTCCTACATACCAATTTACTCCAAGAATGCCATTTTTTTTACTGCAATCAGTCAGTTAAGTGCCATATGTGTTACATGCTTGGGCAACCATGTCTCTTTTGATTCATGACTCACAAGACAGAAGATTTTATCACAGTAGGTTGCCATTTCTTTCTGCAGTAGACTGGTTGCCAACCAAGACTATAAGACCCAGTCTGTCCTGCTATTCACCCCATAACTGGTGGGGGGAAAAGAGATGGATTTATACCTTTCCTAAGGGTATTTGCATATAAGTGATTGTAATGAACCTGGCTGGAATTTGAACTCAGATCTCCGATTTCTCATCCCAAGCCAATATCCATTACACCACACTTCAAAAATTAATTATGCCATACTTGACCTCTGGTGACCTTGGAAGTTGAATTTGTGAAATCAGAAAATATTTTTGTATTTTATACCAAAATCAGTATCTAAATCAACTTTTAGCAACAAATTGTTTCATTTGACTGGAAATGACTTACTATTATTTTTGATGATCTCTGGTTACCTTGAATGATTACAGGAGTCAAGGTTTATGTCCATATTACTGAAGTTAAGCAACATCAAGCATTGTCAGTACCAAGATGGGTAACCACTTGGAAATATCAGGTGGTGTAATGGATAATGACTTGGAATTGGAAATTGGAGAGCCAAGTTCCAATTTCAGTCAGATTTGTTATATTTACTTATGAGCAAATACTCTTGAGAATGGTATGAATCTACCTTTTCTCCCCCCACTCCCAACTATGGGTTAAATAGTAAGATTTGTATCAGTAAATCATTATTATCTCCAAAAAATTCTTACAAAATCAAAAATTGTTTTCTGGCTTTAAAAAAAACCTGCAAAAGATGGATAACCCCAAAAACCAATCAATCATTGGTGCCATCTTCAATTAACCTATATCACAATTGGATGTCTTTTAAGTCTTTATGCCAAATATTAGAACAATGGATCTTTGATTATGGTATAGATACACTAAAAAATGCTTCCAATGTACATGTGAATATAAAATATTTTAGGTTTTAAACTTTATCAATCTGTATGTGACTTCATTTACTGTACAAAAAGTTTATCCTTCCACTGAAGGTGATTGTGATCCCTGACTAATAGTGTCTTTGGATTTCATAGTTCTGTTGTCATATCCTGCTATGGCAACAAAAAACAACTTTGAGTGAAATTAACAATAAGTATACTTCAACTGAGAGGCTTCGAAAAAGAATGCAACCAAAAAGGAAGTAATATTAATAATGCAGAGTGCTAAAGGTTAAAGCTTTACTAAACATTTACTCAGTTTAATCATTTTACTGTTTCCTATGTAGATTTTTAAATGTATATACTGTACTAGCAGTAAAGCCCGGCATTGCCCGGGGATATAACAGTAGAGATAGATCAAGTATCCACCATCATAAAGACTGAAAAATAAAATTGACAAAGATTATTGTTTAAGGTTGACGGGCACGCATGTCTTAATTAGTTTTTTTTTTTTTTTTTTTTTATTTACGAATTGGTCAAACCCAAACTCAAACAAAAACATTGTTTTCAATCGTTATGAGTCTCTACCGATTGAATAGAATTTTATTATAAACAATTTTCTTCTTAATGGAATTTTTAAAGCATTCTGAATGTAAAAATAAAGAAAAAAATCTGCAAGACAATAAGAAACACTACATGCCAAAAAAAAAAGTGAAGTTTTGTTGAAATCGGTTGAAAAATGTAGGTAGCCTTTCTGTAATCTTTTAGTTTTACAATTTATTATTTTTACTTATTGAATACAGTAAAAAAAATTGCATATCTTGCTTGTGGTGATTCATAATTAGAATTCTGATTTGAATATATTTTCCACTCGTTGTTTCTAATACAAAAAATATTAACTTTATTTGGGTTTATTAATTATGATCTAACAAATCTTATTCATTTAGTAGCCTTTCTGTAATAATAATCTTTTACAATTTATGATTTTTACTTATTGAATACAGTAAAAAAAAATTGGACACCATGTGTATTTAAAGTAGTTTCCGTTCGGTTATTATTTTAGTTAGGACTTGTGTATGTTTAGATTTCATTATCTTTCCCTAAAGATAAAGAATTATCTGATGTTTGGATTTGTACAATCAGTAGAGATCGTTAGATTATTGTTTAAGGTTGACGGACACGAATGTCTTAAATTTTTTTTTTTTTTTTTTTTTACAAATTGGTCAAACCCAAACTCAAACAAAAACATTGTTAGAATTTTATTATAAACAATTGTCTTGTAAATTAAATTTTTAAAGCATTCTGAATATTAAAAATAAAGAAAAAAGTGTGCAAGAGAATAAGAAACACTACCTGCCAAAAAAAAAAAAAAGTGAATTTTTGTTTTATCGGCTGAAAAATGTAGGAAATCCGATGACCCAATGTGAGTTGTCCCCCTTCCATTCTCACAATGTCTCTTAATCGTGTTTTCAAATTGATTTTGTGCAAAAACAATTATATTTTTCCCATTTTTGACACTGTTAGAACCACCACAAGGTAATTTTATGTAGTCCTGTGAAGTTTTGTTGAAATCGGTTGAAAAATGTAGGAAATCCGATCCAATATATAAACGTTACAGACACACACACACACACACACACACACACACACACAATCTGCGTTTTATAATAAGTAAGATTATTTCTGTGTATAAGATGACCTTTAAATCCCCAAAATCTTTCTTAAAAATTGGAGATTGTCTTATACTACATTCTAAAAAAGAAACTTTAAATTATGAGATGTTTGTTGGTAGGCTAACCTCAGCCTTTGTGCAATAACCAATTATGTACATAGAAAGATTCTTGGTATTAAATAAACTGATAATAAAAGTAATAAAACACTTTCTACCTTATATATTACTGGCATAAATTCATAATAAATTGCCTATTCAAAGAAAAATTCCATATCAATGAAATCAATTTGTAACCATGCAAGCTCATATTAAAAATGATTTTTATAATTTTTACAATATGATTTATTTTTGTTGGTTTTTACAGATGCAGAAAAATATTCAAAAAACTAAATTTGGCTGATTTTACTAAAGTTCATGTGGAACTCTTGGGATCAGAACCATTAACATCTTGCTCTCAGGTGAAGTAAAATTATTCTGGAAAAAAAACTTTTTTTTTATGAAACAGTTTTAGAAATTTTAATAATTACAGATTTTTTTTTATTCATGAGCCACTCTGAAAGCAATTAAAATAATTTTTATCCATAAGCCACTATTCAAACAATTTTTTATCTATAAACCACTAAAAAGCAAATAAAGTACTTTTTATATATAAAGCTCTATAAATGCAAGTCAAATACTTTTAAAATATTTTTTGTCCTCTTTTGCCTCTAAGTAAAATAATTTTTTTATCCATAAGCCACTATAAATGTAAGTAAAATAATTTTGTAAGCATAATCTAATCTCCTTATGTTTAATCTGCTGTGTAGTAGAACTACAAAACAATAAGTTTCAACTATTAACCAAATTTACTATTATTATTTCAAATACGTTAAAAGGGGTACAAAATTTAATAATTGCAATTAAAGCAACAGAAAACAATAACAAAAGAATTTAGATTACTGTAAAGTGCTAATATTGGAAAGCAAATAAATTTAAAAAAAAAAACTTTGTCAACAGAGCTCAGTCAAGGATGAGAAATGTGCACCACTATTAAAATCAACCAATCACCAAAGACAAGATATAATAAATGCATAAACATTAATGGCTAATTATACTTTACTCTAGAAACCACTCTTTTTGCTTACAGAAAGATGGCTGTAAGGACTTAATATAAATTGACTTTAAGGGCCTTAAGATGAAAATCAAAGTTAGCCTTACTCAATACTGAGAACATATCATGGTTATAGAATGGACACATTGATAGTTATTTAATAAATGCTCAGGTATCACTGTCCCAAAGGTATAGATTTTGATGCTTATATATTTATTATATAAAATGCTGTCTCTGGTGGTGTTGATTTTAATTACTGTGCACATTTTTTTTTCTGGATTGTGTTTTGATTAGAAAGGAGCTAAAAACTAATTAAGCTGTTTTCTTTTTCTTTTTTTTTTTGTTAATTTATTTACTTTTAAAATAATGCTATTATTGTGATTTTCCAAGCGTAACAGATGTGGCACAAGGTCGAAAGTAAGGGGCACCTAGTGATGATCGAACTCACTACTTGGTTGTAATTGTTCTAGCAAGACATGCTTGCTAACCATTACACCAACTTGAGGTGCCCTAATAATGCTATTATTACCTGTTGTTTAAACATGTCCATTTTAATCAGTTATCTTTATTTTATTCTTTAAAATTTTATTTCACATTTTCTTTTTGTTTCTTAATAGCTTGTTGATATTTCACAATTATGTCAATGTTTTAGTCATTATTTTTGTAGATGATTTGTTTTGCATTCTAAGAACACATTCAACGGAAACTATTTTGGAGATTTTGTATTATTTCATAATTTTTCAAAGTTAAAATTGCATTAATATTATCAACACTTACATAATTTTCCTTATCTTTCAAGTAATATTAATTGTATTCTATTAAAGAAACAATATATTCAATTATAAAACATTAACAATTTGAGACTGTCAAAATATTAAATATTTTAAAAGTCTTTCTTCTTAGGTTTCTTAAAAATGTATAAATACAGTCTACTTCATAAATAATAATCTAGCTTTTTAACCACTTCCCCAACAATTATTTTAGGAAAAACATTTCATTTCAGACAAATATTTTTATTTGTTTTTAACATAGTAACTAAAAACACTAAGGTACCTTGAAATACCCAAGTGGTGGCTGACACCTCTACTAGACATATAAGTTAACAATTGGACTCATTTCAAGCTCAGAAGGGCATAAAAAGACTCAAGATCGACATATAAACACATCTGTAGCTGGTTTTTGAACATTATGTTTTAAATGTGTTTATTCGTCCATGTTTGAAAAAGATATTTTCAGTAAAAACATATATATATATATATATATATATATATATATACACATCTATGCCAAGGAAGGGATTAATAAAGAGATTATCTCTCAGATATATTCTACTATGGTTCAAAACTTCTCTTAGTACATTTACTATTATCAGAATTTCAGATTTAGGATTATCCTGTTTTTGCTGCTGTTTCAAAATTAAAAATCCAATTTAAAATAAAAACAATTCCATATGTTATGGATAAATTGATATTCTAAAATTGTTATTGGCTTTATGAATTTTCTCCAATTAAAGTCTTGTTCTATTCACAGACAATTCCACGACAATTAGGACTCTGGTTAGCAGTTCAACATGATAATAAAACAGCCCTGGAGATTTTTGCTCGAGAGATTGCACCAGCTGGAACAGGAATGGGTATGTATTGGGAATAATAGGATTGGCAGTTAATTTATTTGGAAAATTACTGATTTATTTTCTTTATTATCATCATTATTGATCTCTTGTCCAGCTGTAGTTGTAGGTTCACTGATACCAAATATGAAATGGTTATTACATTAGACTAAAGAGCCATAGTATTAAAAAAATTAGATATTTTTTTAACTAAATAAGTATATACTTTTTTAACTGGCTTATGACCACATCACATTGAATCACCAGTTCCCTTATGATCACCAAAGTTAAGCAATGCTAAGCCTGGTTAGTAATTACACGGGTGACTGCTTAGGAATACCAGGTGCACTAAGCTTATATATCCAGGCAGTATAATGGATAATGGCTCGGAATTGTTTAGCAGAGAACCAAAAAAATATTTTTTGGCTTTAAATAACCTGCAAAGGATTGATAAGCCATAAAAATGAATCAATCAACAATTTCTTTTTTTAACTGAAGCTGTACATGGATAATCTTGAATAATTCTTAGCATCTTATTTTGTAAAGATAAGAGTTAATATGAATGTATTTCTCTTATCGGTAATTTTGTTTGATGAGAAATGTTTAATCTGGATCCATTATGAACTTTATACAGAAATAGTTTCTATTGTTTAATCCTTTCTGAATAAGACTGCACACAAAATAAGACAAAGATTTCTGCTTGAAATCAAAGCTCAGTATTTTATTTTGTAAAAATAAGAGTTAACATGAATGTATTTTCTCTTATCTGTAAGGCACAGAGAAACTACATTATGATGATGGGAAAGTGCCTGAATGTGAGATGCCTGATCAAGACCAATAACATTGCATATTTTTCTATGGATTTTATTCAAGAATCTCTAAATATATAGCAGGAACACCAGACCAGATGTAGCAACAATATTATTAATGTCATAACTGTGCTTGAAAGCTTTAATAAACAAACTTAACACCTTGTTCAGATCAATAGAGTCATTTTATCACAAACTTATAGCTTTCCATTGAGGTTAGCTGTTTTGGTTTAATAGGTTCTGTTTTATTGTGGGAATATCTTTGGTCTCCTTATTTTACTAAATATTTGGCTTCATCCCAAACTAGCTAATTTAGTTATCTTCAGTTATCTTGACCTATTTCTACCACTTTGTGGATGTACATCATCATCAGCCTGATAACTGGGTATGGTCCCAGAGTCACTGCACCTGACCAGTTCTCTCCACACATCTATGTTAAGTCATCCCTTAAGTCAAACCACAACCAGTGCTCTCCAACTTGAAGATTTGCCTTGGTCATGGTCACTGACCCCATCAGAAATACTCTCCACCCTGGTCATTGACTTCAGTATAAGAAGCACTCTACCCAGCAATGCCATGTCATCTCTGTACTGGCCGTGTATATAGCTATGAAACTAAATCTACTCCATCATGCTAGATACCCATGGATTCTACTAGAAGTTTTATTAACCTTTTGATGGATTTTGTTTTTAATTCTGCTCACCCTAAAGCCTTGAGGGAGAACTGGTTTAGTTGCCAATGACCTAATCATGTGACAGGTAGTACTGGGTTACATGCAATGGTGACATCCTAAATTTCCAGGAACCGGTTCTATAAAGTCAGGTAATCTTTAGGAACCTATTCTGCTTATTTTCTTTTTTAATCTCAGAAGGGAAACAAATAACTTCATATAGTATCAAAAAGAATTAAACCATTTTGATAATTTAATAGAAAATATTTAAGATATTTCCAGTTTAAAACTCTGTTCTTATCATATTATTGTTTATAAATATGGTGCTTTTTGACTTGTGTCATCAGCTGTGCTATGGTTTCTTAGCCACATTCAAACTGAATCACTGCAGTTCCAAAGACTGAATGGAAGACTTATTAAATTTATGACTAGAAGATTTGCCACATTTTTAACTTCAAAACAGTAAGAGGGGGTGTGTATTTATTAGAGTTTCATGATGCCAAGTAAACAATAATGAGCATGTTTAACATCTTCTCTTCACTTTTAATCAAGGTGTGAGCATAGTGGAACTAACATTATACTTAAACCATCGTCTATTAATATATAAGATATTTTTTGGATAATTCAACAACCAGTTCACTAAGCTTTTATAATTTTAAGAATCTGTTCACACGAATTGAGAGGATGTCATAATTGGTTACAAGAAAGCAATAGAACTTGCAGAGTGACCTGATATAATTTTCATTGTTGCAGATTGTACGACATAGAGTTAATCCACTTAAATTTGCAGCTTAGGAAAATATTTATGGACTTATCTGGGACCCTAGAACTGACACAAGTTTGCATGAAAAAACTAAACAAGCTGTCATAATAGAAAACCTGTTTCTACTAAATGATATCATATTTTTATCATACTTTGGAAACTCTCTTTGTGCTTATTGCTTTACAGTCAAGTTTGATTTTAAAATTTAAATGCAATATCAATCATTATCTTCTGTCATCTTAATTTCTGTTCTTTTGTTATTCTTGATCCTTAATAGAATTTTTCTTTTTCTTATATTCTTTCACACTTCAGTGGCGTCCTGTATCTTGTTGGCTTTTTTGCCTTGCTTGGTGTAAAATGATTTAAAAAATATATATGTTAAAATCATATTTCAATAATGTTGATATAGCCAGTAAAACAGACATTTTTTAATTAAAGATACATAGAATAGTCTGCAATATGGTCTTTAATACTTTCAAATAAAAATCTGAATGAATATGACTGACTTACAACAGAATGCATGTCATTATTGTAGTATATAGCACATTATTATGATGATTATTTATTAAATGTTCCATTATTGCACATTCAGATATACAGAACATCTAAATTGTTTATCCAATTAAAATACTATATATATTAAAAGATATATTCAGTTTAAATACATCAAATATTATTGTAGGATATAGCACACTGATGATTATTTATTAAATGTTCCATTATTGTACATTCAGATATACAGAACATCTAAATTGTTTATCCAATTAAAATACTATATATATTAAAAGATATATTCAGTTTCAATACATCAAATACTATTGTAGGATATAGTACACTGATGATTATTTATTAAATGTTCCATTATTGTACATTCAGATATACAGAACATCTAAATGATGTTTATCCAATTAAAATACTATATATATTAAAAGATATATTCAGTTTAAATACAGAAACTCATAAAAATGATATATTTTGGCTTATACTCTCTTCCTGTTACTCAAGGGTTGTTGCCAGACAAAATGGGAAATTATTCCACATGGTACAGATATCCCTTTTAATTTTACACAAATAGTATGTGTACATGTATATTTTAATTCAATGATAGACCTAAAGATATTTCTATAAAACTAAAAAAATTTTTTAAATTTATTTATCACTGAATAATTTTCATACTGGGTATGACAATAGACTATATCTGGCAGCAAAGGTTTATGATCATTGATAAAAGTGTTGTTTGTGACTTGACCCAAAGAGCTGCAAGTTCAACACCCAGCCACAACAGAGGTGAACAAGGACTTAATGATGAACAAAGAGCTGATTTACTAATGGGAATTAACTGAAACTGAGATATCCAGAAAAGTCATGGCATGTGGAACTAGAACCACCATGTACTAAATAAAAGGGTTTGGTTCAAAATTTCAATGAATATCACCTGAAGAAGGCCAGTGCATACAACGGCCAAAATGTTGTGAATATGACAATAAAGATAAAGACAACAGTCTAAACAATATAAATAGTGTAAATTTATGAGTTAATTTTACCTGAATGGTAGCATTTTCATCTCAGATGTTCATGACTACTATCACATGATCTTTGTTCACTTTCAACTTGCTGTCAGATGAGTGTCACTCCTCTCATGTGTAAGAAGTTAAATTATGCACTATTTACATTATTCGGACTATTGTCCTCATCTTTGTCGCCATATTTATTACAACATTTTGGCCATTGTATGCTCCAGCCTTCTTCAGGTGGTTGGAATGTCGAACTGAACCCTTTATTTCACTCACTGGGGTAGTTCCACATGCCATGTCTAATGGATGTCAGTTATCAGTTATCTCCTGTTAATTACCCTCTCTAAGTTCTCTACCGCCTTAACCAGGTATTGAACTCACACTCTTTGGGTCCTATCACTGGATCTAACTAATGCCTTTATCCACTGTACCATGTGTCTTTGTAAATAGTGTACATAATACCTCATCTCAGAAATACAGGTTAAATTATATTTTGATGACTGTATCTTTGTTTTTTTTTTTTTTACTTTCACTTAATTTCGTAATGTGAGAGAGTTATGGAAGATTTATTCCCCTATTTATATTTTCCCCATTATGGGCATTATTAAATCTGTGATATAATAATACCGTCATTCACGGACAGAATGGAATGGCTGAAAGAAAAAAGAATGACAAACACACTTTGTTCTCATATCACTAAAACATACACAAAACTATATACACATATATATACACATGTCTTATGTAGAAAATAATATATCACATCAAAGCAGAGTGTATGGAGAAACAAAAAGGAAGGGTCTTGCATATAATGTGAAAATACTCCTGTGTCTGGAGAAGCCATGTTTAGGAGTCCAGATTCAAATGGGTAGAATTCATCTATGTCACTGGTGAGTACATATTTCACAAATGGGAAGCACCTAGTCCTCAGTTTTTCCAAATTGAGAGCTGCAAGCTAAAGTTTCATTCTATATCTGGGAAAGATATATCCCTAAAGAGAAATGGTACTATGTGCTTGTAAGCTGCTGGGAAGCACCAACCTGTGCCCTCTGGCACAGACTAAAAGAAAGCAACCTCATGTGGTGGCTGCTGTAAACAAACTGAATTTGACTGCCGTTTTTGTCACTGTATTAAGTGTTGTCACTAAGCAGTACATCATATGACCCACATGAATTATCTCCCCTAAAGGGAGATAATTGCCTTCTGCACCATTACAATTTAATGTCATTTGTTCTTTTGGCATTTTTAATTTGCATAGCAAACTTTTTTTTGTGCCAAATATAAATTGTAATTGTTAAATTTACATATATTTTAAAATATTTTTTTAATAGGTAATATATTACATATAGTTAAATTAATACCCAAGAATTGTTTTAATTATACTATTGGAATAATTATGAAATAGAAAAAGTAAATTCAGTTACTTTATTTTCAGCACCTGGATTAACAGGAATAGTTGGAGGAAGACCTCGAGTGTAAGATTAAAGTTTTGTTTCTCTACCCTCCTTCATTCTTTCAAATCTATTCTATAATTATGGAAATTATTGGTTTTCCAGTAGTCCCTTCCATCTCAGTGGCATTATCACATTGCTTGGGATGAATTCATTAAAAAAATCTCTTCAGTGTTGATGAGCTTTTAGCTAATACTGCATTAAAAACAAAATTTATGAATGACAAATGTAAAAATATATATTCATTTCTCTCTATTAGTTGGTTACATAAATTTGTTCATTTTTTATCATTTATTTTAATACTTATTATTCATTAATTATTAATGTATTTAAATTTTTCATTTTGTATTCATTTATACAGTGGATCATCAACTACTAAATCTCACACTTTGGTTTCAATTATTAACTTGACAGATTTACAAAGTTAAGGGCATATATGACACATATCAATAAATTGAAAGTTGATTCATCAACACAATCCAGTACTTACATAGCTTGAACTAGCAATGTTAGATATATTTGTCTAAGGTAGACTTTAACATACAAATTATACACACTAATGTAGCTTTTAATAATGTGGACACTGCAAATTAATATATACAAAATAAATTTTTTAATCAAGATAGAAAATTGTTTTAATGTATTAAAAGCATTAAAGATAGGCTAAGAAACTTTCAAACTTGATATATATTGATATATTCAATATATTAAAAAGGCAAAATTATGTTTGAAGATTAAATGTAGAAATTTTAATTTAGATATTTATCAGTTTACCTATATAGCAAAGAATGCTGGACAACAGCCTCACAGATGAAGAAAAGACTTTAAACAGAAATTAATGATTAATGATAAAACATAATTCTTCCTCTATGTGCCATGTCCCTTCAGGACGTTGGCAATCATGGTTCTCCACAATTTCCTTTTGTCGATCTTAATAATTTTTGTCTTTTTGTTATCTTACCTAAACCCTGTTCCACCATCCATTTAATCATGCTTGTTAGGTAGGTTATGCATTGTTTTCCTCTGTTCCTCTTGCCATCAATCTAACCTGTGAGTATCAAATTTTCCAAGCCTTCTTTCCTCAATATGTGCCCTAGAAATTTCAACTGTTTATTTCTGATGTTAAGTGTCCTTTTTGTTACCATTTTCATTAAAACTTTATATTTGGTCCATGGTATTTTCAGAATCCTTCTGTAGAACCACATTTCTGTTGTCTGAAGTCTTTTCTTCATCGATAAGCAGGTTTTCAAGCATTCATTGCCATATAGGAGGAGTGATAAATACCTAAAAACTTTAACAAAATACAACAAAAGTTCTTACTGGGAAATTTTAGTACTACCAATTCAGAACAGCACAAATATCTTTTTTTCTAACATTAGCTTTTTGTTTGAGTTTGTGTCTCTTTCATTTTAAAATCTTGGCATTCAGGACAAAATACCCTAATTTTATACAATTTTACATTTGCTAAACATGGACCTTCATGCCCCCAAAAAATGGTGTGTTAAAAGGAAGCTATAATTTTAACTACCTTTACTCCTTGGCAATATTTACTGTTTTAAAAAGTGATGATTAGAATTGTAATAAACTTAAACATATGATGAAAGTGAATTTATATATTGATTTTTGTTCTTGAGAATTTATAACAAAAATATTAAACACTGTTTATTTATTAGATTGTTTATTTATAGGAATAATTTTATATTTACAGCATTCTAAAAACTAATACAATTAACACTAATGCAATACAATATTTATTATTTACCAATTTATAAAGAAATAAGTATAAACATTTTTTATTCATAAATTTATAAACATTTACTAAATTATTAAAATATATGTACTAACTATAAGTAAATCTTTATTATTTACCATTTTATAAAGTTTAAATCAGTTGACAATTAGCCAATGTTTTGACAATCATTCCAATAAACAATATGATAAGTAAGTGATGTAAATAAATAAAGTGGTTATAATTTTTGTTTTCCATTCTCAAGAACAAAGAAAATGTATAAATTCACTTTCATATGTTTAGGTTTTATTAAAACTCTAATCATTGTTTTTTAAAAGAATGAATATTGCCAGGAAGTGAAAGTAAAAAAATTAAAATAATAGTGGTATCAAGGGAAAAAATACCCTTTTAACTAGGGGCATCCACAAAAACACAATACCTAACATTTAAAATGAATTTTTAATAATGAAAAATTTTTCTTGAAGCTTTTATTTTAGTTTTAATTTCAAGCTGAGAGATTAAATTTAATATTTCCAATCAGCAAAATACTATGCTGTATTTCTAAACTAATTTAAACAGATTGGAAAAAATTGTTTTTTTTAAATTTCTAAAAATTTTGATTTTGGCACCAATTTTAGCAACGTGTTATAAAAATGTAAATCTCTTTATTAAAACATTTTCAAAAAATAAAATATACTTTTCTGAAACTTTATTTGAGAAATATTAGGTAATTTAAAGTATAATTAATTTGATTTGAAACAAATATTATTATTTAAAGTTTAAAATATCAGAGAAATACATTTTTCAATTCAACAGTAGCTTGTTTATTTATGTTAATAGGTTTTCCTCCGTGACAGCTGATGACGGATAGATTATTATGTAATGTTGTTCTACGGGGGATTTAAACTTTAAAAAAATAATTAAGATAAATAATGCAAACACCTTTTAAGTACTTAGTAATCTTAAAAACTGAAGAAAATAGTCTCTGTAATCTAATGTTTTATTGAATTTTAGAGAATTTTGGCTCTAAATTTGCTATAGGTATCACTCTTATTTTCTGATAGTGTTGTGTATGGGCGACCATAGATATAAAATGTGGTATGTTTTTATACATACAAAATTTTTTTTAAATATTCAGGGTTGTCAGAATGTAATAAGCGTTATGATATATGATTAGTAAATATAATTTTATTTAATAACAATATTTCCTAAGAGTTACACCACTGTAACTGAATTTTAAAAGATTTAAAAATATTATAAATTATTCACAAAATTTGTTTTCATTTATTAAAATTTTAATTAAATTTTAATAAATGAAAAAAAATTTTGTAAATTCATCAAAAACTTTTTTTTCTTCAGACAATATTGTCCTTAATATGTATTCATAAAAGCAATTAAAAGCTTCTCTAATTAAATAATGTCTTAGTTCTATTGCATTTTTTATTTTTTTCAGTAAGACATGGTCTGATTTTGAAAAAAAATCAGTAATTTAAATTCTTCAAAGAATTCTGGCTTTTAACTAATATAGTCACTAAAAATGATCATGTTGAATTTCTCAAGTTTTCATAATTTTCTAATAAAAATTTTTTTAAATAATTTAATTCATTTCTGAATAAATCTTGGAGAAAATTTCATTAAAATCCCACAATTATTTGATTTTTGCAAGAATTTCCAAATTAATGTGTCTGTCACCACAAAAAGAGGCTAAAATTTGCTATGCTAAAATTAGTACATCTGCTGATGCAAGAAAAACAAGATTTTTAATCAAAATTTCAAATCTTAAAAGGAATAAAAAATTTAATTAAATATTTAAAAAATACTTTGATCATTCCTTTTAATAATAACAAAGATTCTAATGATAAAACTATGTTTGCATTACATTTGGAGCAGACTTTCATCACAGTATGCTTATTTTTTTAGCAATTTCATGGAGGTAGCTACTTTTGATACACCATTTTTTTGTGTGCATGAAGGTCCTAGTTTGCCTAATATTTTATTTTACCAGCTTATATAATTCCTTTTTGTATATTATCTAACTATGAAAATGTCATTATTTATATTATTTACATTTAAACTAATATCCTCATCTTTGTTGTTATTATTGTATTACTTCAATTGTTGTTCATCAGGTGTCTTTTGATCTGGGTAACTTTAAGAGAATTTCAAACCAAACCCTTTATTAAATCTACAGGGTATAGATTTTTGTTATTCTGCTATCCATGTCTAGAGATTACTTGCTGTTTTCACTGAGTCTAAGTCTGTACTACCCAGCCTAGGCATTGAGCCCACAATTATTATTGTCTGTCAGAATTTCTCAGATGCAGAGTTATTATTTACACTATTTACAAGGTAAAACAAGCTGCTTCCTATAAGTAAGGCTGGTAGAACATTGAAAAGCTGTAGAGAGGGGTGAGACAATGAAATCAAGCATAGCTGATCATGTATGAAAGGAAAGGGATAGTCATCAGCCCTTTTGTGATGAAGTTAAAATACTGGACAAGGAAGAACCCTGGAGAGTTAGATTTGTGAAGAATCATCACATATGACTTAGTAGGCTTTGCACACTAATAAATACATTATGGAAGCCATTAATAAAGAAAGACAAATGACAGCGATTCTTCAACAGCAGTAGCAGTACTAATCAGTAGTCAAGTTAGGTTTAAGGCTCCAAGTTCACTACAGACAATTGTCCTACAGATTACCCTAGTGGATTAAAGCATGTGTTCATTCATAAATTTGGTAACATAGTAATTGTGAGTTCAATCCCCAGACTGGACAGTTTGTACTTGGACTCAGTAATACTCAAAATAAGATCTAGATGATATCCCTAAATATAAGCAGTGGAACAAAAAAAAAGTCTACCCCTGCAGATTAAATGAAGGGTTCAGTTTAGAATTCCCTGATGTTACCCAGAGCTGATGATGACCAGAAAGCAAAATGACTAAAACATTGTGATAACAACAACAAAGATGAGGATAATAGTCTGAATGTATATAATGTAAATAACCACAATATATAATCAAATTCACAAACTAATGTTTTAATTTACTAGCTTAATAGACCAATAGTTAATTGATTTATTTTTATAAAATTTTATCTTTGTAGATCTCCTGTACTGAAGCTTTTTTCATTTTTGTATCCTAAAGACAATATTACCGTAAGTATGGCAACTAACAATTCTTTGTAGTCTTATGTTTTATTTTTGATGTATTATTATCATATAATGTATAATATGTTATTATTATTATTTGATATAATATTCTTACGTTTTATTTTTGATGTGTTATTGCTATTCATTTGTCTTTCAACATATTCATTTGCTTATAATACAGATTATTTTTTTTGAAGGATTTTAAATGATTTACCAGCGATACATTGGGTAAGAACAAAAGCTTGTAGTTTTTTAAATGAATTTCAAAGACAATCTTTTACATAGATTTATTCAAGCACAAATGTGCCATTTTCTTACATTAATTTTTACTATCTTTGAGGTAGCTTCATGATTCCATCCTCCCAGAACATGCCATCATTCTGGATGATGAACTGGTCACATTGGTTTTTAAAGGCTTTCAAAAATCTGATGCTATTCTTAATAGGAATGTCAGTTCTCTGAAAGTCTGAGAAATTTGTAGGGATCAAAATAAGTAATAATCTGAAGGTGCATATATGAGTACAGCAGGTGTAGTAGGACATCCAAGCCAAGCTGTACCAAGGAATTCAAAATACACAATTCCCTTCTAATTCCTTGCAGATACACAGCATCAACTTCTTTGGATATAGACACAGTTTGTTTTTTGTTTTTGTTTTGGGGGAGGGGGGTAACAATTGCTAATTTTGTTTCTCCAGGCTTTTTTTCATTCCACATTGTGGTAAACAATCTATTTTTCATCATATTGTTTTTTTCAAAAGTGGATTGTTTTTTGTTGCATTTGAGAAGAAAATTACAGCTAGAAATGTGGTCCATTAATTTTTTTATATTAAACCATGAGGCATCCAAACATCATATTAATTCATGCAGTGATCTGTTTTCAAATTCCTTACAATTCTTATATAAAATATATGGTTTATCTCTATGTTGCTGTGTGCCCTGGATTATTTTTTAGTCAATATTTCAAATTGTTTTAAATTGGTTATCATCAGTGACTGCAAGTCTGCTGGAATATTCTCTCTTCCAGATTAAAATTTCCACTTTTGAATCTAGTGAACATATTACACACAGTACTGTCAGCTATGGCACTATCTCCACAAAGAAAACATATCTTTTTTTGCTGTATGTACAGTATTTTTTTCTTTCTGGAAGTAAAAGAGCCTCAAATGAAAAAACACATCTTATTTTTTTCCATTTTAATTTTGGACATAAAAACATTTAAAACTTACTACTTGCACACAAAACATACAGAAAGACACTTTGAAATATCACCTTTCAGAATATGTGTAAATATGTTATAAATTTCAGTCACGTATGAAACTAAATCCAGTGTTCAAATACTGTTAGGATCCATCTACCCAAGCTTTAGTTGCTATTGATCTCGTGATTCCAAACATTTAACATATATATATATATATATATATATGTATGTATATCCGAGAAATTTTCATAGAAAATATTCGTCCTTTGACAGGATTCGAACCTGCATCCTATACGGAACCGTCATTTACGCTGACGTGCCTTACTGTCTTGGCCACAAAGGAGTGTTCGGTAGGCAAGGTCGAATTTACTGCTTATAAACTTCAATCTTCTATGAATCTTGTACATTCATAACTGCTCTGGCGTATCAAATGTAAACAAATGACGTCATATATTAAGAAATGGACAAAGTCCGACAATTTATTTATTAAAGACATTTTTATGTTTAACGTTCTTTTTTATAGATACAAGTATTTAAGTAAATGCTCTGTTTATAATAAACAGTATTAAATAACATTTACCGGCCTGAATGTCCGAGAAATTTTCATAGAAAATATTCGTCCTTTGACAGGATTCGAACATGCATCCAATACGGAACCGTCATTTTTACGCTGACGTGCCTTACCGTCTCGGCCACAAAAGGAGCGTTCAGTAGGCATATATATATATATATATATATATATATATATATATATATATATATATATATATATATATATATATATATATATATATATATATATATACATATATATATATATATATACATATATATATATATATATATATATATATATATATATACATATATATATATATATATATATATATATATATATATATATATATATATATATATATATATATACATATATACATATATATATATATATATATATATATATATACATATATATATATATATACATATATATATATATATATATATATATATATATATATATATATATATATATATATATATATATATATATATATATATATATATATATATATATATATATATATATATATATATATATATATATATATATATATATATATATATATATATATATATATATATATATATATATATATATATATATATACATATATTCATGAATTATTCACAAAAACAAAAGCAAGGTTAATGATTTAATTGGCGAAAATCCATCATTGCAAACAATTCAAATAATATACAAAACCTCCGAATCCGTTATGAATGAATTGATCCTTGTTTCCATAAATTTCTGCCATATTAGTTCTTTTTTTACTACAAGCTTTCATCTGTTCCTACAGACATCTTCAGGTATAGAATAGATGTTGTTCTTGTTTTTTCTCTTAGTAATAAGAGGACAACGAAAATATATGTATTGTTGTATCCGAAAATGCTATTGAAATTTTGATTTATTTTGGATAATAAGTGCGACATTACTGTAATTATTGAACAATATAGTTCATGCCACTTTGACAGAAAATTTACCAGTAAAAATTCGTTCATCACCATATTTATATGAACGCACAACCTTTAAAAATTTAAAATAAAACTCAGCGTTGCTACTACGCTCCAAAAACAATAACTCATTTTCAATAGCATTTTCGGATACAACAATACATATATTTTCGTTGTCCTCTTATTACTAAGAGAAAAACAAGAACAACATCTATTCTATACCTGAAGATGTCTGTAGGAACAGATGAAAGCTTTGTAGTAAAAATAAGAACTAATAAGAAATTTATGGAAACAAGGATCAATTCATTCATAACGGATTCGGAGGTTTTGTATATTATTTGAATTGTTTATGATGATGGATTTCTTTAATCTTAAATATTAACCTTGCTTTTGTTTTTGTGTGAATAATTCATATTTATCGTAATATACATATATATATACACACACACACACACACACACACATATATATATATATATAAAAGCATATAACATTTTTTTCTGGTGCTTGAAACCAACACACCATAGATATTGATATTCAAATAAAAATTCCATTGACGTGTCACTAAAATTATATCCTCTTTATATTTTATACCAATTTAAATTATATCTTCTTTATATTGTTCAGGTAAAAGTTTTCATAAATGGTGAAGTAAAAGAAAAGTTTAAGCCAGTGAAAAATTCAGAATTTTCTGAAACAGTAAACCAGAAGACAATTTCTAATGACATAAAGGCTGAAACACTGCTAGATGGAAACTTTACATTCAGATTGGAAGAGCTTGCCTACACTCGAAGTGGTGATAAAGGAAATACAGCAAATATAGGTAAGCATTAATTTTTTACTTATGTTCTCATAGAATAAGTGTATGAAATGTACACATATAAAAGGATATATTCATTGCTTATTAACATTGATAGCATATGCATGTTTGAGACAATCTGCATATATTTTATTTTTGGAAAATTTCTTTTACCCGCAACAAGGTGGTAATGCCACAATGGATTTCTGGGAGTGAAAAAAGAATGACAAGATAATTATTCAGCATATATTTTAGTAAAATTCTATTGAAATTTAGAAAATAATTTAGTAAATTCTATTCAGATTCAGCATATTTTAGTACATTCTATCCAGATTCAACATATTTTTGTTAATTATACTTAGATTCAGAATATATTCTGGTAAATTCTATTCAGATTCAACATATTTTTATAAATCCTATTCAGATTCAAAATATATTTTGAAAAATTCTATTCAGATTCTGCACATATTAGTATATTCTATTCAGATTCAACATATTTTTGTAAATTCTATTCAAATTCAGAAAATCATTTGGTGAAGTCTATTCAGATTGAAAATATATTTTGGTAAATACTATTCAGATGCAGAAAATATTTTGTTAAATTCTATTCAAATTCCTCATGTGTTTGTAAATTGTATTCAGAAAATATTTTTGTAAATTCTATTCAATTCAACATGTGTTTCTAAATTCTATTCAGAGTCAGAAAATATTTTATTAAATTCTATGCAAATTCAGAATATATTTTGGTAAATTCTATTCAGATTAAGAATACATTTTGGTAAATTCTATTCAGATTGAAAATATATTTTGGTAAATTCTATTCAGATTGAAAATATATTTTGGTAAATTCTATTCAGATTGAAAATATATTTTGGTAAATTCTATTCAGATTGAAAATATATTTTGGTAAATTCTATTCAGATTAAGAATACATTTTGGTAAATTCTATTCAAATTGAAAATATATTTGGGTAAATTCTATTCAGATTAAGAATAAATTTGGGTAAATTCTATTCAGATTCAGGATATTTTGATAAATTCTTTTGCGATTCAACAATATCTTTTTAAAATTCTATTCAGATTCAGAATATAATTTGGTAAATGCTGTTCAGAAAATATTTTGTTAAATTCTATGCAGATTCTGAAAATTTTTTTGGTAAATTCTATGCAGATTCAGAATATATTTTTTAAATTCTATTAATATTAAGAATATATTTTGGTAAATTCTATTCAAATTAAGAATAAATTTGGGTCAATTCAGATTCAGCATATTTTTATAAATCCTATTCAGATTCACAATATATTCTGGTAAATTCTATTCAAATTTGGAATGTACTTTGGTAAATTCTATTCAGATTCAACATATTTTGTTTTTTTCTATTCAGATTCTGAATATTTTAGTACATTCTATACAGAAAATATTTTGGTAAATTCTATTCAGAATCAGAATATATTCTTGGTAAAGTCTGTTCAGATTTGGACTATATTCTGGGAAATTTTATGCAGATTCAGAAAATATTTTGTCAAATTCTTTTCAAATTCAGAATAAATTTGAGTAAAATCTTTTCAGATTCAGATTATTTTTAGTAAATTCTATTAAGATTCAGAAAATATTTTGGTAAATTCTGTTCACATTCAGGATAAATTTAGATGAATTCTATTCAGATTTTAGCTTAAATGTTGGGTTATCACTTTTAGCTAACAACAATATATTGTGTCTTCTTAAAATTTCTAGCTCACATCTTGGGCTATCCATCTTAGTTTAAAGCAGTGGTTCCTAAATGGTGTGGCATGCCTCATAGGTATGATGGAAGAAAGCAGGTGAGGTGGAATGATTGAAAGACAAAGACTTAGAAACAGTTTCAGAAAATTCATATGCCAAAAATAAGTATGATTTCAAAGTTTAAAATATTTTTATGGATTACTTTTAATTGCATGCATGCATCTCAGAATAAATAGTTATAAATAATTATTGACCGATTTTATCATTGTGATAATTTTTCATTATATCAAATATTAAGAATATAGTAACACTGGTCCATAAATTAGAGGAGAGAGTTATCAATGATGATGTTCTGACTTCAGATCCGTGATTATCTCTTTTTAACCCTCTCTCTGTTTTTTATTTTTAAATGTACTTTTTATCACATAAAATTTGGTGATGTGTGAGCAAATTTTCATTCAAAAAATGTGGCTCAGAGTGTCAGAGTTAACTCCTCCTTCAGTCCGTAACCCTTTCACCAGGGGTCTCTCTTCCCTGGCTATAAATAGCTGCTGACATTTCGCCTCTATCTCTTTTTCCTTTTCAGGCCTGTGCACTGACACCTTGAGGTAAACTCTCTTATTCCTAGAGGATTTTCAGCTATCAACCTCGAAATGTAGTCGCTAACAAGGGATAGCGTGGAAACACGCTAAGCACAATACACACGCACGCACATACAGAATATTCACACACACTTCGTCCTTTGTACTGTTTCCATGTATTGTAACTTGTTATTAATATATATTTTTATATACATATATTATCGGTCTTGTGTTTTGTTTGCTTTCTTTGCCTTCTTCTTTGGACTTAATCAAAGTCCAACCTTTTTATGTAGTTGGACTCGGCGGGCAGGAGTATCTGAACCTTGCGTTTCTTCTACGTCTGACTTCTATCAACAACATAACTGCCACGGGCCCACTACAAGAGTAAATGTTTGGTAATCACTGGTTTAAAGAGCTAGTATATAAACTGAGACCTGTTATATTAACTATATTTTGTCCTAAAAAGATAGTTGATGTAAGATATAACTTTAAAAAAAAAATCTGATTATTGATATAAGATGCATGAAAAAGAGAAAATATTCTACTGCAATTTTGTTTGTAATATTTTTTGTCTTACTTTTTTTAGGGGTCATAGCACGAGATCCTTCTTATCTTCCTTACCTCAAGAAAGCTCTTACAGAGGAAGCCATCAAAGAATACTTCAGCTATTTGTTTGAAGATAGCAGAAGAGCACAAGTGACAAGGTAAATAGAAAAATTGTATTTTTTTTATGATTTCATCCCAAGTAAAGCAGCTAGAATGCAGGTGGGTTACAAGAAATGAAAGTAAAGAGGATGGGAATACTGAGAGTAGGGAGGACTGAGGAAAGGACAAAAATCAAACAGGGTTCAAGAAAACAGAAGATGGCGATTGATGTGGCACTTAAATTTTTGAAGATTGTTGTTAATAGGGAAGCAAGAAATAGGAAGGGTGTTCAACAGGTGGGAAGTACAAGAAAAAAAAACTGTAGAAGTAGTGGTTGCATCTAGCTATTTTAACAATAAAATAATGAGACCTAATTGCCAATCTAGTAGCCTGCTTAAATTCATGTTGAGAGGGTTCCAGGAAAAAAAAATCATCAAAGTAGTTGCCATGAAAATATTTGTAGAAAAGACAGAGAGAAGCCACATCATGTTGGTGAGAAAGTGACTGAAGTCAAGATGCCTGATCAAGATCGATTTCATAAATTTGTCTTATTGGCAAAACTCTTCACTAAACTTTTAGAGTCAAATCCCAACATTTATATCTCTTTCCAAAAGTAGATAATCTGTAAATATTTTATTCTGTATATATGATAATGTTATGATATGAACATGTGTTTTCATTTTACTAAGCATATGGTGACATAGCAAAGAATAAAACAATGAAAATTTAAAGCAATAAACAATTGTATTAACATAAAATACAATAAATGAAAGATCAGGGCAAATGTCTCTCATATAAAAAAAGAGATATTGTAAATGCATCTGGTGAAACACAACTGGAGCTATGACATTGGCAAGCTGGTCAAGTCTGTCTTTTGGAGATGGGTGAGTGCTATTGAGTGGAAATGGATTGCTTTGCTTTTTTTTTTGAGTATATGAGTAAACAGAAGATATATATGGAGCCTTGCACAGCTGATGGATTTTTACTTCAGTTTTGGGTGTTTGGAGGGTTCACATCCAGCCAATGGGGGAAATTAGTGTAGTGTGGATCAGAAGGAGATCTGATTTTAGGAAGACTGTAACAATAATTAATATTAAATTTTGCATAATCACTTTTACAGAGATTATAGTAAAAGGTACTGCTGCTGCTGATGAATCTTATAGCATGAATGAATTGTCCATGAGAGCCAATTGTTTATAAAAGGCATCCATTCCTACTCTGCTCCAATTGTCACATACAGAAAGCCTGCCTGGCTTCCAATACACCGGGGCAGGATCTATGGATTGACATTCCCTACAATCCCTGACTACTGCCTGAACAGCCACTCTGGAAACTTCGGGGATGACCAATTTTGCAAAGTACAGTGTGCACTTCACACCAGGGTGTCCTCTAGCAGCCACAGCACACACTCGTTCTACAGGTTCCATCTCTCTCTGAATATCATCCAGTCATCACAGCGGCACTCTAGTGAGCTGATTTGCCCAGTTATCATGAGACTTAACCAATGTCACATCAATCTTCAGCTCATATTCTGAGGCCAGATGTCAAAGCGTGCTGAGCCAGCTCCTGACCAGCATCTCAGTGGTAGCCTTGGTTCATACACTTGACTTTCTGGATAATGTGTCTGAGACCCAGCGATGCATGCACACCGAGTCTGTCTTCAGGTGAATCACCTTTGCTTTCCACTGCAGTGCGAGGTTGATGCCCCACAGAACTGTGTCAAGTTCTGCCAAGTTGATGTGCTTATCATCACTCACTGGTTGCAGCCAACAGTTCCACCACTCTCAATGACAACACCAGTGGCTAATGAGCTCACATCCACCCATGCAGTGACATCTTGTCCATCAACACACCAGTTCCCATGCGCTGGATCTGTTTGTGCTACTCTGGTGAAAACATCCGCTCAGGAGGGGGTCTCATACTTTATCGTCCCATCCAGTTGTCACGGCATTTGCTCTACGCTTTATGAATGTGGTCACAACACATAGCCAGCCACACACTGGAAAATGTCCCATTAATTTCCCACACACAGAGAAAATATTTCAACCTGTTATTACATTGGGCAACATCAGCAGCTTATTTCCACAACTCCACTGAAGCTTGTTGTGCTCCTCCCAGACATGCAATCGTAACCCCATGTGCTGCTCTGTAACTGCTCTGGGGCCTTGCATGTAAGCCCAAACCTCTCAAGGTGCTGTTTTACACAGGATGCAGGACATATGTTCTCACTGACAAATACATCATCAATGTATGAAGATATAGCTTCATTGATATTCTCATCTTGCACAACTCGACCACATTATCATGGGTGCTACGTTAAGCCTGAACCCCAAGCAAGTGAAGTAGTATCTTTTCCCCTTGATTTCTACTGTCTGGAATGGCCACAAGGACTTCTCAACGTGAACTTGCAAATAGGCCTGGCGCAAGTCCAACACATTAACATCTGAACCTTGTTGTTGTCGCTCTCTTAATTTGTGTGCACATACATCTGTGCTGGCAGTGTATGCATCTACATGCTCATTGAGCTTACGGTAGTCTATGACGGGCTGAACCTTTTGTTTGTTTTCCTGTAGGACAGCCATTAGAGGAATCAGACCCTTTGGGGGCCCAAGATCGTCTTCAGGGTATGGAAGCAGCCAGCAGTATTGTATCCAAGTTTTCATCTCTCAGTTGTACTCAGCCCAAAGGTGCTCAGGAGTAGGATGTCTGACAGCCTGTTTTTTTAACGTAACTGGTGGCTGGGCAACAGACCAATTCTACGATGTGATCCATATCCGTCTGTTAGCTTCAAACACTGCTTGGAAATCGGGCTCGTTGACAGTGATGGCAGTGCAGATTGGCTTGTGACATTGGGGAAATTTTACCTCAATGTTGCTAGTCATAGACATCCTACCCAGCTGTTTGATTGTGTTCAGCCCAAGCCACAAGTCAAATCCGAGTAATTACTCGTACACGACCAGAGCTTCTATGTCAATAGAGGGTCTGTTGCTTATTCCGACCTGGACCACCCCGATTCCACAGCACCTAAGGGTATTCCTGCCTACAGTCAGGACATGTACCTCCTTTCTCTCCCATGCCTGGCAGCATACTTTGTGTATGAGTGTTTGGGTGCAACCAGCGTCCACAAGAGCCATGCACCTCATTCCATCAATCTGTACAGTCATTGTAGATAGTGCTCTATTTAAAAAGGATCTGGGGATAAAGTTGCCGCTGAAGCCTTGTACCCCTGCCAGTTTCCTGGACAGTTTCAGGCCATATTTCCCCACTGCTTACACCGATAACATGAGTCTTTGGGGTCCAGTATTCGCTTTCCTTGATGTTTCACGCTGTGAGGGACAGTCCCGTGGCAAGTGATTGAGCATGCTGCAAACATAGCATTTTGTTGGTGCATCAACTTCCTTCCCCTGACAAAGCAATGATTGTGCAGCTACCACCGTTTGCTCAATATATGCAGGACTTCAGTATGGTGCATTTTCGAGCTAGCACTTGTGAAATCTTCATATTGTCTAACTGGGAAGAGGCTTGGAGCAATTCCTCGGCATGCTCTGGCAACCCAGCGATAAACACACACATCAGACTTCTATCCATCATACCACCGACCAGAACTGAAAGTTTACGCAATTTGGCCAAAAAGACATCGACAGTCTCACCCGGGCGCAAGCGGCATGCTACAAATTGCTTCCAAGCTGTAACGGAATCCAGAGCAAATGCTGTATACGAAACATTTTTGGTGCAGGTAAAGTCTTTCTTCTTTTCTTCGCTCAGCTGCTGGTCCACTGCATATGCATCTCCTGATAGACGCATAGGAAACACACATTCAATACATTTTATGCTGCTAAGCTGGCATATCAATTCTGCCTTCTCTATCCACTTGATAACTGACTGTCCAGAATCACATCCATGAAATAGCAGTATCAGTTTAGGATCAAAAGCCATAATTGCCGAAATAAGGCAGTCGTTTCTCATACAGGGCAATCATCTCTCAGTGTCCTTGTCGACTCCCCCAGCCCCCACTGCCAAAGCCTTCAGACACACTCATTTTATAGACCATGATGAAGCAGCCAGTTGGTTGAGTGGAAAAGTTTTACATATACGTAGGGGCACACTGCCAATTCTTCCTTCCTCCAAATGCTCTGTGACACTATACACATGCAATGTGTAGATGTTTTCAGGCATGATGTTGCACATCTTGCTCATGACAATCACATAGGTTTCAATCACTTCCCCACTGCCATAATATAGCTGTCCTGTGCCTTTGCCTTTTTTATGAAGACTTGCATGGTAATTGTTCTTATGAATTTTCCTCTATGGTACCTCAACTGTATCAATTTAAGTGCAGTACTAGTTCGTCAGCAAATACTCATCATTTTACAGTTGAAATTGCTAGTTTATACTGTATGTTCTATGCTAATAGTTTCTTCTCTCACGCTTCTCACTTGTGGAACTCACTTCTGACCTTTTGCTTTCTAGTCAACTTTGATCTTCAAAAAATTTAAATGCAATGTTAATTGTTATCATCCATTTCCTTAATTCCTGTTTTTATTTTTCTCTCTCCTTAATCGTATAATTCTTTTTCTCATATTCTCTCATGCTCAATAACCCCCCCCCCTTGCATCTTAGTGGCTTTATTGCCTTGATTAGCATGAAATGATTAAAGACAAAATGATTAAATATTTCAATTTATATTGGTTGATATAAAAAACCTTTATTCTATTATTCATAAAGATAGTTTCAATTGGATGCATTTATGAAAGATTTAGTCAAGTTTGTTTCATTTATCTTTAATTGATTTTGACACTGAAGATTGAAGATAATAAACAGCACTTTTGGCATATTTTTTTAATTCTAAGAATGCTAAAAATGCAACTCAAACACAATAAACATTTGTGCAGTTTATGGATAAGGTACTGTAAATAATCAGATTTGTCAAAAGTGGTTTGCAAAGTTTTGTGCAGGCAGTTTATAGCTAAATGATACTTTACTGTTGAATATACGAGTTGAATTCAAGACATTACTTAAAAATAATGTTAGATAATGTGTAAGATAATACTGAAAATATTTAAATCAAATGTTTGAAAATCATTTACACTAACTTGTTTATATTAATCATTTTAATGTGTGGGTTCAAATGAATGAATAACCTTCTAGACTGTATTTCTGTGTGATATGTGACTTCAGAATATCCTTTATTTAAAAAAATTGTGATGGGAACACCACATCACAGATGACGCCATGCAAGGCACCATTAAACAAGAAATAAGCTCTTTGGAAGATCTCATAACTTCTATTAAGAAGTGGTATGGACATATCATAAGAGCCAACAATCTTTGAAAAAGTGGAAATCATATGAACACATCATAAGAGCCAATCATTTCACTACCATCCTACAAGATACTACCTTAGGCAAAAGAAATGATAGACAGAGCAAAAATGGGCTGACAATGTCAGAGTGGACTGGAAACTCATTCACAAAGACTCAGACATTGGCATGCAACTGAGATATGTTGTGGGAGCTGGTCAGGTGCTCAGCAACCTTGTGACACCAGTCATATGGATAATGGGCAATTAGTAGTGGATACTTTACAACAGTGTGAAATGTAGGTGATCATGGGAAAATCAAAATGAACCACTACTGAGTATACTAAGGAAGCTGTGTTTCTAGTAGTATTGGATAGGAGTCCTCAACCACAACCTCCTTCCGAGGAACAAAAGAATCGATTCAAATAAATGTAATATTAAAAGTTACTAGTTAAAATGCTAAACCTAAATATTTGTAAATTTCCTGTAAAAATATCCTTAAAGTAATGTTTGTTTTCCTAATGATATTGGTTTGTGTATATTTTTGAGTAACAATAAAATTGCTTAAAAGTAACAAATTGTGATGCATTTTCCCTATTTTGACATGATGTATTTAAAATTAAAATAATCTAGCGGAATCTTTATTTTAATGTTCTTGGTTTAGTTTCTTTGTTCAGTTAAAAATTTAGTAGATCACCTGAAAAAGTATTTTAAGGTCCAATAGTATCTAAACTATTTGGAACAAATGTAAAATGAAGCCCCAAATACTTTATTTGTATAGAAGATTATAAGGGTACTAACTTTCAGCTTTTTATTTTCTTAAGTATCAAATTTGTAAGTTGTCAAAATCAACAAAGCTATGATTTGTTTTAGAAAAATATGTTTTAACTCAAAACAGAAGTTTGTCTATAAACTTTTGTCAATGATCTTCAGACATGTAAGAATCTATAGTAAAAATAAAAACATTTTCTTAAATTACCTAACTGGTCTGCTGATATCATGAAAATAGGCATTTTTTAGAATGTTAAACATCTGAGCAATTTTCAAATGGTTGTACTGACATTGCTATAGCAGAAATAAATATGGTTACTGCATAGAAATAATTTATTAGGTTATAAATAACAAAGAAATTATTTTGGATGCTGTATCTAACATTGTAAATGAGAAGCTCTCAAATTGGACAGCATCTTTTTGCATTTTGGTAAGTTTTAGGTTCTTATGAAAATAAAACTATATAAGATACACCTAAACTGATTATATTTTTCTAATCTACAGTAAATATTAATTATTGTTAGTAAATTTAAAATCTGTACATGCAATATCCTTGAAGTTATAAATGTCAGAAATTCATTGAAACCATTATTTGGCAAAATGCAGTGAAATTTCAAGAGGTTCTGATTTTAAAACTATTATAGATCTAACGTTTGGGATTTATCAACAAATTTAAGAAATACCAGTGAATTTTTCCAGATTTTTCTGAGAGCATTACATATGGTCATTGGTTGGTTTGAAATATATATAATAATCAATTAATATAACATATATCTACATAATAAATATATTTCTGGTTGTTTTAAAAGTATCCATGATGAAATTATATCAACCTTTTTGGTTTTTCTCTTACAATTAACAGATATGATGTACCAGGGATATATGGAATAAATTTTGTTTTACACAACTCACTTGGTGGGGGTGGAATTGCATCTCTCAGGAGTGATCCTCAGGTAAGAAAATAACATTTATACTACCAATCATATATTTCTTCTTCTATATACCATGTTCCTTCAGGAAGTTGATTTTGCCCTCCACAACTTCCTGTCCCTTGTAGCAATGTTTGCCATTTTGCTATCTCTCCTAATCCATGTTCTGCTAAACATTTACACAAACTCATTAAGCAGGTTATTTGCTACTTTCCTCTGTCCTTCAATATGTTCTGTATCAAATTTTCCAAGCATCCTTTCCTCAGTATGTACCCTAGAAATTTTAAGTACTTCTTTCTGATTCTTAGTATAAGTGTCCTTTTAGTTACCATTTTTCTTAAAACTTTGTCATTGTTCACATGTTCAGTTCATGGTATTCTCAGCATCCTTCTATAGAAACACATTTCTGTTTCTTAAAGTCTCTTTTTCATCTGTGAGATTGTCCAGCATTCACTGCTATATAGGAGGACTGATATTACATAACAGTTCAATACACTTTTCTTTGTTTCTGTTACTTTAAGTCTCTTTTTCATCTATGAGGAGATTGTCCATCATTCATTGCCATATAGGAGGACTGATATTACATAACAGTTGAGTACTCTTTTCTTTGCTGCTCTTGCTTCATGCCTCTTCATTTTTATGGAGTTTGTCCAGTAGTCATTGCCATATAAGAGGACTGATATTACATAACTCTTTTCTTTGTTTCTAATAAAATTTCCCTGTTTCTTGAAATTTATGATGGCTGGATACATCACACATTTTCTCTTGTTAATTATGTTCATGATGCTATCATATATTTGGTAGTTCAGAAAATAATGTTCACTTTTAGAATCAACTTTTATTCCTGAATTAATGTATCTAAAGTGTTTAAATCAGTCAAAATAGGAATGCTAATCATCTATACATTTCTGTATTAAGTTACACAAGATTATTTATGCTGCTACAATGAAATTCTAAAGTTCTGGATACCAAGAAATTTTTGAATGCAATTTCTTTTTCTTTTCTTTGCAACAAAATGTCTTTTAGCTTAAAAATTGGTCAAGATGCTTGAAAAAGTGTTAGTATCCCAAGTCAGACATTTCATCTGACTAAAACATTGAAATGGATAAATTTTATACCAATTTTTCAATGGTTGTCAGTTAGAATTTATGAACACAGTCTACACACCGGGGTTGAATAAGACTGACATAGTTTTATCAGTTGAAATAGATCTATCCCCATCCCATATGAAGTAACTTTGGATTTTGTTGTGTAATACTATTTATTGGCAGTTATAATAAATATATTGAGCTCTTTTTGTGGATCAGTTTTAATATTTTAGGATCCACTTGGATTATATTCCAACAGATTTATTACCTGTCTCTCTCTCTCTCTCTCTATATATATATATATATATATATATATATATATATATATATATATAGAGAGAGAGAGAGAGAGAGAGATATCAGATAACAATATATATTTTTATATATCAAGAACAGTAATTTAATTGTATGACAAGGAAAAAACAGGAAATTGTATGACAAAATGGAAAAAGTTTACTTGTGACATGTTTCAACCTTCAGGACATTATCAGACTAAATCTTGTTATGTTGGTAGGACTACACATGCACACAAGAGAGATCCTGGGAATGTTAGATTTTTTTTATCTAGCCTAATTCATTTAGTCTTTTTTTTTCCATCACTTTTGTTAGTATGTATTTCACACTGATATTAGACCTGCCAGAATTATAATGAATTATTTTCTCCTTTGATCTAAATGAGTTTGGCTAGATAAAAAAAAATTCTCATAAATAATTACATCTATCCAGATGACTTATGTTACACCTACTTGACCATAGCTCCATTAGGACTCATTTAAACACACACAAAAATTTACTAAACTCCACCAGAAACATAATAGTAATATATACAAGGATAATAACCTCATTTTATAAAAAAAGATTAAAAATAATAGAAGCCTTAATAATAATAACATAGAAAAGACCAACAGTCAATAACATTATCTATGAACACAGCCACAATGTGCTGGCCATGCTTGGAAAATAAAACATCCCTATAACTCTAGATACACCCGTAACACAATTCATACATTCAGTTAAAAGTAAAATAACATCATCTTTAATAATGGCTAAACATTTATCCGAAAGCACTTCGAAATGAAGAACATTTTGGACAATTTTTCCAAACTTTGTGTCCAGAAAAGAAAACACTTGTGTGAACACAAGAAAAATTAAATAAAAAGCTTAATCACAGTACCTTGTCAGTTGTCTTCAATGAAACTTGTATAGAGGGATTGCTATCTAAATACACAATATATATATATATATATATATATATAGGGTGTGTATGTATGAATGTACGTGAGATTCATGGAAGATTGAAGTTTAAAGACAGTAAATTCGACCTTGCTAACCGAAAGCTCCTCTGTAGCCAAATCGGTTGAGGCACATCAAGCTAAATGATGGTTCCGTATAGGATACAGGTTCGTATCCTGTTGGAGGACGAATATTTTCTGTGAAAATTTCTCGGACATTCAAGCTGGTAAATGTTGTTTAATACTGTTTATTATAAACAGAGCATTTACTTAAATATTTGTATCTATAAAAAGAATGTATATATATATATATATATATATGCAAGTTTCACTAAAGATGACTGACAAGGTACTATGGTTAAGCTTATTTAATTTTTTTTGTGTTCATACAAGTGTTTTCTTTTTTGGACACAAAGTGTGGAAAAACAGTCCATATGTTCTGCATTTACAAGTGCTTTCAGCTAAACTTTTAGCCATTATCAAAGATGATTTTATTTTTACACTCAATAACATTAACTACGTGTTGTCTGAAAAATAAAACATCCCTATAACTCTAGATACATACACACAACCCCCATACATTGATTTAAAAAGTAAAAATAAAATCATCCTTGATAATGGCTAAAAGTATAGCCAAAAGTGCTGCGAAATGCAGAATATTTGGGCAGTTTTACAAACTTTGTGTCCAGAAAAGAAAACACTTGTGTGAACACAAGAAAAAGTAAATAAAACCCTTAATTGCAGTACCTTATCAGTTGTCTTTAGTAAAACATACAGACACACACACATATGAGATGATATATATTTTTATATATCAAGAACAGTAACTGATGACAAGGAAGAAAACAGGAAATTGTATAAAGTAGAAAAGTTTACTTGTGATGTTTCGTCCTTCAGGACTTCATCAGACTAAATTCTTTTATCTTGGTACAACTACACATACATATGAATAAGGTTTGCTGGAGATTTTAGAAATTTTTTTTTTTAATCTAGCCAAATTCATTTAGAAACTTTTTCTTTCTTTTTTTTTTCCATCACTTTCGTAAGTAGGTATTCCACACTGTGATATTAGAAGATTTGCCAGGAATGGTGAAATTTACTGTAGATGAACTTGTGATCAAGGCAACTCTCTAGACATTTACATCATAGTGAATTATTTTCTCCTTTTGATCTGATTCAGCTAGATAAAAAATAAATTCTAAAATTCCCTGTACCCCAGTCATGTGCATGTGTAGTCCTACTACCAACATAAATTTAGTCCAATGATGTTCTGAAGGATGAAACATCTTACAACTTTTACCACTTTGTCAAATCATTTTCACCAATATATATATAGACTTCTGTTCCTTACTTTCACCTGAAGATTGTGTCCTCCACATGAAACTGTCAGTAACAGAATAAATTGAGGTGTGTACATAAAGTTTTATTTATTTTTATATATATATATATATGGTGCGATGGATAAATTGTCATGTAAATTAAACAAGATTAAATTTATTCGATAAAACCACCATTGGTTTCAACCATAGCCTCCAGACAACTTCACTCCTGCCACTCTTCTGGACAATCTCCTTGTACAAGTTGGTGAATGCTGCCATAGTCCTTGCCTTCAGTTCATCTTTGGTATTACAAGGAGTTACATTGGTTTCTCTCTCAACTGTGCTCCACACATAATCAAGGGGGTTGCAGTCTGGGGAGTTAGAAAGGATGATATGGTCACAGAAATAGTCTGACAGCCATGACCAAGTTCTTCTGCTTGTGTGGCATGGTGCAGAGTCCTGTTGCTAGACATCGGGTCTTCCCAGCAGCATTACCTCGTTGAGTCTGAGGCCCTATAGGAAAATGAATGGAGGTATAATGTTGTCATCACTAGTGATCACTCCAAACACCTTTGTAATTACCATTAGACTCATCCAACTCTTTCTGAATCCACTGCACTGTCCTCAGGTTGACACTCAAATACTCTGGAATGTAAAGCAATACAGCATACTGTTTCCAAATTTCTGACAGAGTACATTGCATGATGGTGCTTTTTTTCTCACAGACAGTACCCAAGTGACCCTACTACACTGTGCAATAAACAATGCACAAAATTAAAAATATAAAATAGCGACAATTTATCTATCGCACCCTACCCACCTCTCATATATATATATATATATATATAAATAAAACAATTGCAAAATGAGTTTAACATACTTCATTATCAAACTTGACAAATCATTTCACTATGCAAGTCAATTTTTTTGTTAATTGGATACTTATAATTTAGATTTATAAACATTACATATATGAACATATGAAAATGAATGCTACAAAAACTACATATTTTGTTTTTTTCTTATTTTTCAGGGTAAAGCCTTAGGCCAGATTCTGATGGATTTTCCAATTACATGTGTTCCTAACCTGTGTAATAAGTAATGATAAACAGTTACCTATTTTACAGAAAATATTTTAAACTTTTGACAAATTAAAAACCAATGATTCTTTCAAAAATTTGAATTTTATGTAGCAAATGATGTCATACAATAAGAAAAAAAAAACTGTTCTTCCAATATTATATGGTTTATGATGTGACAAAAATTATTATGCAACTTTATGATGATTTAATATAAATTCACGCATATATCCAATGATCCACTCTAGGATCATTGGGGAACCATACCTTACAGAACAAAGTTTTTCCTTAGGGTTAGTTCAGCCCTAGACAGACTGCCCTATCAAACTTAAAGGGAATAGTTTGTTTTTTTTTTGTTCTGTTTCAGATGTGGTGGTGGTGCGGGGGGAGATTGATTAATACTTTCCCTTAAGAGTATTAGTGTAAAGTAAATACAAAGAGCTTTGGGCAGGACGATTGGCCAGATTAATGGAACATAATGATTTTTATTATATCTGGTGCTGGAAAGTTTAACTGTGACAGAAAACTAATGTTACCTTAAAAGGAAGAAAAAAAATTGCTCTCAATAAAAAAAATGAAAAAAGAAAAAAAGTTCAGGGATTTTCTAAAATATTTGTGAATTTAAGAATGAATTACTTTTAACCCAGACAATTTTTTTTATTTACTGCCAAATCTTAAATTCTGGTTTTCAAAATAGGTAGATATTCTTCATGATTTGGACCAAAGATTTTACTTACTGTTGCATTAAGCCACTACAATCATCTATCACATTTTAATTGATTGTTCCATGAAATTTTGATATTATATATTTTATAAATAAATAAATTAAAAAAACAAACAAACAAACAGAAGAGATATGTATTTGTTTTTTAATGTTTGAAAATTGAGTGTGAGAAAAAAAAAAAAAAAATCAATGTTTAATAAAACAAATTCAAATTGCAAAGAGTGTAGATTTTTTAGAAAATTAAATCACATTTCCAAAGAGATAAAATTTAGCAATCATATGTTTTATTAATCATAATTGCTAATAAGCAAGATTACTGCTACCATTATAAATTAATTCAGCTCAATATAAAAGCAATTTTCCATAAATTATTTTGAAATATTTGCACTAAGAAAAAAAAAAAAAAAAAAAAACAATGGTCATTTTCAGGTACTAAGTCTAGTGAGATGAAAGGAAAAGAACTTTCTAGCCTAATGTCTTTTACTCTTGGATTTCTTTTACCAAGTGAGGCCTGATATTATCAAACTAGAGGGTGATACCAAAGCTGCAATTTTTGGTTTTAATGGCATAAGATGTTGGCAATAAAAATGTTTTTTTTTCTAAAACTTGATAACAGCTGATGCCATGTTTTTTTCAAGATTCCAGCAAATGTAAAACTTTCTGGATGACAACCTTGTTTCAGTTTTAGGATCCATTTGACATACAATAATAATCATTCTCCCTACTCACATTAATTGTTAATATATAGTATCTATATTGTCTCTTACATGATAGATAGTACGTTTTTACTAATTAAAAAAAAAAGCACTGTAACCATTTCTGTAGTTATTAGGTATAAAATAATGTTATAATGCATAATGGTGAATATGAAACTCATTAAAATCTTTCTTGCCTATGTGGTTAACCAATACCTGGAAGTATAAAGGACACAGCAAGATAAACACAAGTGTTTCTTATTTATAATCTTAATTTCATAGTGGGATGATTCCAAATTTGCATCTTTTAAAAGTGATATTACTTTCCAAACAACCTAATATAAAATCATCTAAAAATTATTTTATTGTAAAGAAAATAATAAAAACAACTTTATACATATTTGGATGTGTTTTTAATGTATGATATGAGAATTGGGGAAAGATTTTTATTGAAAAACTTCTCTTTATGTAGAAGAATAATGAAGAAAATTCCATGCTGCCACTACACATGACTTGGTCTTTTAAATAGAGAACCGCTCCATTATACTTGGAACTAGAAAATATAAAGAAAAAGAAAAAAGAATTAGTGAAATCAAAATCAGGTAAAAAGAATAAATAAGTTAATTTAAAAAGTTAGGCAATTTATGTTTGCAATTTAAAAACAACAATAAAAATGTGTCTTCAGATTCAATAAAAAGTAATTTTAATCGATTTACTAGTCATTTCATGTCAAATCAATAAGGGTTTGACCATCACCAACACAGTTTTTTTTTTTTTTTTTTTTTAATTTAGTACACTTATAGAGTTTCATGATATGAATTGAATGGTACCTATTTTACATCTCTAGGTCAAAGGGTCCCCAAGATATGACTTTTTGACAAAAAGGTGCATTTTGGAAAATAATCACAAAGTTTAAATTTCTCAGTTGTTTTTCACATACAAAGCTATTATACTTGCAATTTTTACTTACAGAAAAATATTCGAAATAAATTATACAACAATAACATGATTGAGGACTGAGAATATGATGCTGATAGAAAACATAAGGGTTGTAATTCAATGAAAAGAAAATTTTTTCAACATTAAAGAATGTTTGCACATTAAATTTTCATTAAAATTGGTTAATTTCCTGATTGTTGACCTGTGTCCTGTATGTAGTGGGCTGACTTTAGGATGAATAAAATCAGAATTTTAATTTTTAGGCATTGAAATTCTAATTCCTTGATTTTTTTTTTAAACTCAAAAGAAAAATTAAGCAAAGAAAATGTTTGTTTTCATGTTGCCTGATAAATAAGTCACTAATTAATAAACTTTATTTTTTATTGAAAAAACAAATAAAAAAAATAAGAATCAAATATTGAAAAAGGTTTGGTTTGTTTTATGGCATATCAACGTGAATGGGTTATTTAATGCCAACAAGATTTTTTATTGCTGGTAATATTTTATTTTTCCAAAAAAGTATAACTGGTAATAATTTTTTTCCTCAAAAACTCACTGCTGGTAATAATTTTTTACAAAATGTATTGCAGGTATTAAAACCTATTTTTACATTTTCATAGTGTTTTGACCCCAGTTTGGGGCTAACTATTTGTCCATAGTTGGGACCCTAACAGGTGGTAACACCCTGGGTCATGGTGGACCTGGGAACACTAGTAATTAAGAGGTGGTTCCACGCTCCTCAAAACCTCCCAATCAGAAGCTTTGCTGTTCGATGTAGTTTATCATCTTACCCAGGACATATTGAAATAGGATAATTAAAATTAATGTTTAAAATCCAGTTGACTATGAAAAAGTGTCCCAAAAAACTAACCAGAAAGATCATAAGATTGGAGAACAGAGGAAAGCAACAAGTCAAACCTTATCTAATGAGCTTGCATAAATGGATGACACCAGGACAAAAGAAGGAGAGCAGACATTACTAAGAGCTGCAAAATAAAATTTTCTTTTATGTGCTGTGTCTCTTCAGGGTGCAGGCAATGATGGCTCTCCACAACATCCTGTCCCTTGTAGTTATTGGTAATCCTTCCTACATCATACACAAGGACATTATTTACAAGGTGCACTATTATACAAAGAACTTGCTTTATGGGCTGCCATTAACTTTTAAATCCAATAACTCAATGATCGATTTTACATTGCATCGATATTATAAACAGGACAAGCTTCTCTATCAATTAAAAAAGGAAAAAAAAAACAAGTCAATATTTCTCTACTGTTTTGATGGGGGGAGGACTAAGCAGTGAATCAGTTTCTTTTATTTAAGAAGTGCTATCGCAAGTTAAAACAATTTATTTAGGGTATCGTAACTAACACGAAAAAAATACTTCCAAAAAGAAAGATTCAATATAAAAATAAAATGTAGGCATCACGATTTTTTTTTTTTAAATATTAAAAAAAAAAAGTGAGGAAATTATCAGCACTTCATTAGTGAACGTACTGAATAAGTTATTTTTTTAATTTTATTATGAAATTTTGAAGAAATATTTTGAGAAGGGGATTAGGTTTCACCTCTCCCCACGTTTTTCGATATCATGTGTGTCCTTTTTCTTTTTTTTTTTTTAAATTGTAGAGAGTGTACGTGTACGTCCAAATATTTTTATTTTGAAAATATTATTTCCGTAAAAGAAAAAAAAAAAAAGTGCAATACTGAGTGTGAACATTCGGAAAATTCGGCACACATCTTGTCAATAAAAATCGAAAAATTTTATCTTTCGAATTGAACAGAAATTTCAAAAAGGGCATTTAAAATGTGTTTTTCGTGGTTTTTTTTTTTTTCGTTTTTTTCTTTTTTTAATAAAGTCCGTGGCAGTACCTAATAAAAAATTGCATTCATTTTTAATGAGTAAGTGCTGAAAATTTAAATGAAATCGGATAATTTCTTGATTTTTGGTAAATTCTTAAAGACAAAAAGGATACCGTTTTTTGTCCGCAATTCATCTGACAAAAGTGCGCATGATTTTGAAGGTGTGTGTGTGTGAGTAATAAATTTTCTAGAATCAAAAATATTTTCAGAGTAAGACTCAAATCGTAATCCGTGGAAATGACTAACTTTTTAAAAATCGAATCACAACCATTTCACTCAATTCCACTTTCTTTTCTTTTTTTTTAAACTACCATTTTCCCCTCTTCATTGAACAGAAACGGTTTTTTGTTTCATAAAAAAAGGAGTCATACTTTCTGAAAAAAATACGAAATATCGCAGAAAAATATAATTTTTGTCTAACGGAATTTTTTACCTTAACTATCGCTTCTTGGCCTTTTGGCAGGGATAAGGTGTCTCTCCTCAATTAAAATGGGAGAAGGCGCCTGATCCCACGGATTCCAACCCAACAGCAGCACCTTCCCAACAGCACTAAGAGAGGTGTGGGTCGATGTAATCTACGCCCACGAGACAGCGGTATCAGAGAATCGGTAGTTTTTGTCCTTGATCCATATGTACGAATATGGGCTCCCCACATAAAAAAAACCTTGTGTCACATCCTGCCTTAATACTAGGGAGGTCAGGTAAAAATAATTCTTTCTTTACACAAAAAAATAAATAGGTAAATAAATAATAAATATTTAATCACCGTAAAGAAAAATTCACATACATGACAAAAGTTAG